GAATAAATTTTATGCTTGGACAGCACTGAACTGTATGGGTCTCCTATAGTACTTTAGAAAACCTTCTAAAGAAACGTTTCTAGCCAAATGTAAAAACTGTTAAACGATGATTGTCATAGTATATATATTCGTTTACAAACACTCTTAAAAAATGCGACTTAATTCGATCTTAAGTTGCATTTTGTTTTAGAGTGAAAGGTTAGCGACACTAAACAAGTTATGACTGGAGAAAAACTATGCCCGCAGTAATATTTCCAGAGGATGTCTAACAGGCCTCAGCATACTTTTAGTAGCACTACTGAATACGTATATAGGAAAACGTTCTAATAAAAACTACTCATGTGCTAATTTAGTCTTTTTAGAACAACTCTATATTTTAGATCAATTTATAAACCTCGAACCAATTCATAATTTATAACTCTTTATAAACATTTTTTAAATACCAGACCGTTAAACTCTTCAACAAAAGATAGTAACAAAAACAATGAATTAAAGAATAGTGGACAGCTTTTTTTGCTTGATCTCGCTTGTTTGATGAATGAATAGGTATCACTTTGATAAGTAAGACTAAACGCTTCAGATTAATTGTTGCACTACGAGTACTGCTTTTAAGGGGGGGATGTACCTGCCATGATATTGACTTTTTATGACCAAATTGTAGAGCAAACGAAGCTACATATGCCCTAAAATTTTCTCGGCGGATGTATGTGTTCTGACAGAGAAATAGCTATTACAAGTCATACGACCGCATAAGGCACCCATCGGTCTGAAATTTCGGAAAATTCGACAAGTAATGATTTATGACTGATTTTTGCGTAGTTCGATAGAGCATCGAAAGTTGTCCGTAGCCTTTTTAGTACCGAAAACGTAGTATAATGTCGCTGTTTCTCTGTCAGAACACATACATCCGCCGAGAAAATTTTAGGGCATAGGTAGCTTCGTTTGCTCTGCAATTTGGTCATAAAAAAGTCAATATCATGGGAGGTACACCCTCCCCCCCCCTTAATTCAAAACATTTCAGAGGACATTGGAAAAAACAAACGAGAAAAAATACCTAATGTTAAATGGTTCACATTGGGAAATAGACGATTAATTGGTTGTTGTTGTTGCTGTGAGAATAATAAATTGTTTATTGATATATGTAAATATTTGACACCAGCACACGAATAGTATTGTTGAAATCGATTAGATAATGAGCTATTCAAAGACATCATAAAGTCAACTTTTGGAAAATTTGGAATGGTATATATTTTGTCTTGTTCACAAATTACGCTCCATCTTTTATTTAACCAAAATGATGTTTGAAATGCTGCTACTGCAGAGTCAATATTGTTTACTTCAAGAACTCCTTGTATTTCTATATATAATTCAAATTGTTCTAATTTTGTCAATGATGATAATAAATGAGACCATCGTTGACCATCAATAAATTCCCCTCTATTACGTGTATTAAAATGAAATCGTTCTAATTGAGAAATACTATGCAATAATAATTCCAAATGTTGAAATTGAATATGATCAATTTTTAAATTTAATAATTTCAAATTTGTGTTAATAATTCGTTGATAATTCTGTTTATATGAATGTTGTACTTTGACATGTAACGTTTGTAATTTTGGTACATGTTGAAATAAATGAAATAAATCATCTAACGATAACAAACTAATTGAAAGATACTCGATATTTGATATTGACAATCTATTTTCAATTTGAATCCAACCAATATCTAAATGACATGTTTTCAATGCTGAATGATTGAATAACAAACTGATAACTGCTTGATTATCTTCCCGTTCAATATTTGAATTTGATACAGTAATTCGTAAATATGTTAATTGTTTTAGACTAGCTAATTTGGGTATAATAGTAACTAAATCATCATGATCAGTATGAAGCAATATTAACGATCGAAGTTCACCAAAATTAGACATGTCAAATTTTTTATTAAATAAATCAATTTGATCAGCATTAAATAAATTCAATAGACGTACACGATATTGCACTATTGGCAAAACATAATCGAGATAATCGTCAAAGTCTTTTTTAGAAATATCTGTTAAATCAACGTAAATTGGCGACTTATTAATAACGGTATCTACTCTTCTATTTAAACCGTACAGTATGCGGTAGAGCCAAAGTGGAGTTAAATAACGAAACACCATTCTTAAAATCTCAACTGGAAGTTGATCCACCTTTGTACAGACCATGGATGTGCACAAGAAGATAACGCCTTTTCCTGAAACTAAATGAAACAAAAGACAACCGTTGTGTTTGGAAAAAAAATTCTAGAAGAGCTTGAACTAAAAGCTTTTTCAACAAGTTTTGAATCAGAACAAGTCGAGACTAAAGCGATCGGTTCGATAGTCTGTTTCTAAAGGCAATTTCTTCACTCACAAAAATGTTTCATGGACATAGATAGGGTTTACTATTGTTTCAGCATAAAATGTTCTTCAAAAATTCAGACTTCAAAAAGTTCTTGAGCAACTAAAAATACGAACATCCATCCATTTAGAACAGTGCCGCAGCCAGGATCGCGCTAATGGCGGCCCTAGCAAATGTTTTTCCTCCCAGTTTGTACTGTTTAATACCGTACAGCATAGTTTTCTTATACTTGGCAAGGATGAGGCTTTTATAAAACACATAGGACCTCTTTAGATCTTCTTTTATGAAACATACGGACACGTGTAAAAAATAAACATGGCTTTATTGAACAACGTTCTAGGAATGGATCACAGTCCCATTCAAACTATACTCAAATTACGAGTGTGGTAACTAAACGTCGTACCGATGTTCAATTGCAATGTTCCTGGCGTTGATCCTTCCTGGCGTAATTTTTACAATTGGAACCATAGATTAAATTTCATTCTGAAAGTTTTTGGATTTTCTACTTATTTTAAAAACATTTGCATACTGATTTGACACCTGACTGCTAATAAACGGGATGTGACAAGTAAACATTACCGTGAGGAGATAGCTGATGAGATAGAGATAGGTTTATCTGACGAATCAGTTCAAAAAGCTGAATAAATAAAAAAGCGTGCCGTGTCGTGTGTTATACTGAGGTCATCTGTTATAGAGTATACAATATGTCTGTGTGTCTCTCTCTCTGTCTCTCTTACTGTCAAAAGGGAATTGAAACTTAGCTCTTTTTATCTCTCTTCATTTCTTCGTTCATACGTGTTAAACTTTATATGCTGCAAAACGTCTTATCGTCTTGATATCATTTATTACAATTTGAAAGACCGACTGCTATCCTTTTCGAAGTAAAAGGCACGTGACTGTTTTTTGAATAACTTTTGATATGACCTTACATGACCTCCGTATAACACACGAGACTATCTTGAGATGTTAACCTTGTAAAATGAGGAATTATTCTCCTAAATCCGGTAGAAACTTGTTAGAAATCTCATTAGGATATCTCGTTATTTTTGGCCATTTAAACTGGAAACGTTTTCATGCCTCAAACTGGAGTGAAACAGTCCAGAGGCGGCGAAATGATTTTGAAACGTTTCGTGCGTCTAACTGGCATGAAACGACCAAAAAATGGACATTTTATTGCGTTCGTATGCAAGCTATTTTGTTACCACGTTGCGCGATTAACAATCTACTTTTCGAAAACGTTTTGAAGCTTGTGCCTTCTGATGGATAATCTCAGAAAGATTGAATTCAAAATTTCAATATTTTTCGTTCTGTGGCGCAAAATGGTAAAAAAATAGCTCCACAAGGGACACAACAAAATGTGACCGTTTCAGAGGCGGTAGAACCCATGCGAGCGGTGGGTGCCTTGGCACTCAGAAAATTTTGAAAATTTTCGTTTTCTTTTCTACAGAAAGGCAGAAGTTCAGATGAAACAACATTACAAGCACCGAAGGGAAGGGACATTTTGGTATGGTGAGAGTGAGTCACAGAGGAGAAACTGAGAAGATCAGAAATACGTTAGAGGTGTGTGGCGTATAAGACAGTTTGACTCGTGGAATAAATTTTATGCTTGGACAGCACTGAACTGTATGGGTCTCCTATAGTACTTTAGAAAACCTTCTAAAGAAACGTTTCTAGCCAAATGTGAAAACTCTTAAACAATGACTGCCGTAGTACTAGATAGGTGGGTAAACCGTTCGACAATATGAAAGTATTTTTTGACTGAATCTAAGTTGATTCCAAATCCAAGGGAGTCGTGGGTGCTTTGGCACTCGCAAATTTTGAAAATTTTCATTTTCTTCCAGCAGAAACTTATTTTTTCTTTGCGTTCTTGTCTTTGAGCATCCATACCCAGGTGAAACTCACCTTACAAGATCATACAAGATCTGCCATTTTCTTATGAAATCTTGTAACAAGATCTTACTGCATGATCAGTTCATAAGACGTGACAAGATCTTGTAACGCGAAAGCGTATGATCTCACAAGATCTTGCAATCGAGAGACGTGACTTGTATTTATTTCTTATCGCAAGATCATACGAGTTCTTGCAAGAATGGATGACTCATTCTTACCACATAAACTTAGCTGCGATATTGAGTGTGTATATACCTTAGTTCTTATGATAAAACTTAGAATAGGCTTCATGCAAATAAGACGTATATATACAATTCTTTTTTATATACTATATATATATAACATATGCACCATCAAATTCTGAGTTCCCTACTCATAAGTACTATTTACAAAAGACCATTAAGTTAAGTTAAGTCGGGCTGTGTCTTCTTTCCCATACAATACAGTTTGTTTTCTCAACCTTAAATTTCAAGGTATAACCTGGGTGCCCAAATCCAATTTTTCAAAATCAGGAGTTTTTCTTCAAAAATCAGGAGTTGATCAGGAGATTTTTTCTAAAAAATCAGGAGATTATCAGGCAGTTTTTTCTTGTACAAGGAATTTTTTCATTCCCACAAACGCTTGTCACTTTTTTCTACCAAGTAAGTAATGAGAAGGTCTGTCTTCCAAGCGAAACAAACAAAACGAGAGAAATATAA